GTGTTTGCGTTGACACAAACGGATAGTATCCTTTCGATTTCATTATAAAATATTTTAATTTTTCTTATTATAAGAAAAAGGAGGTAGCAAAGGCAAAGAACAAGGCAAAGACGGAGTGGAGAACACGTCCTCTGCGTCCGACAATGGCTGCTGGGACAAATCATCTCAACCTCCGAAACGGTGACGGTGATGCAGCTTTCACAATCTAAAGGCACCGGAAAAGCTGATGCAAAAGCGGAATGCTCACAGCCGCCCCAGTTGTCGTGATGCCATCTCCGCCACCAGCCTTCCTTGCTGCGTGCGTGTGTGCGGCCTGCCCTACCTCACCGTTCGCACAGCCATTGCGTTCCTCTTTTTGCTGCTGCTGCTTCTTGTTAGGTTGTGTTTGGAATCGGGCAAAAGGCACCCTTGTCGATGTCAAGTGTGCGACGAGAATGATGATAGGATCTATGATGGATTCGTGTCACTTGCCGACAGACTCTGACTTCACTGTCGAATCACAAGATATTTCCGGGTTGACGGTGATGGGATGACCAACCTCACAGGATGTTTGAGGTTGGAATCATCGGAGGATGTGGTGCCATGGCATTCGGAGGAGATATTATGTTTGCCAAGAAAGATTTGAGATGCAGCGATTGCTGGGCTGCGGTTTTAATGCAGAGTTTGGATGTCATGTTCGAATAAAACAATGGACAGTAAAATTCTCAAATATTTTATTTGTTATCATTTTTGACATGAGATAACTACACTTGTAGGTTTGATCCTTTCGACATATGTATATGTTTTATTTATATCATTATATTTGAATTTAGAATATATTTATATGATCAATATTGTGGGTTAATCAAACATTCTCATTATCGCTCTCTTTTTAAGTAATAGCTTTTCATTTATGGTTCAAAATCTAAAATCTTTTTTAATCTTGGATTTGTCAATAGTTTAAGTATGGAGTAATCATGTTTATAATATAATAAGAGACTCATCGTAAAAGAGTCATCCTAAAGCAATATCCAATCACTTTAAGGATAACATTCGGATTGACTTGACTCAATAATAAAACATATATGATCATATTTTAATTTAAAATATATAGTTAAATAATTAATTATATTTATATTCGAGTTTGGACAAAATTTATTAATAATCTCGAGTAATCATCCTTTATACTTGTCTATAACTCATTATTAAATTATAATAAAGCCTTAAAAATACTAATTAATAAATTATTAGAAGCTCAACACTGGTTTACAAAATTGGAAGTTAGCTACTACAAATACAAAGTAGTAAATACATTCTTGAAAAATCTATGTAGGTCAAAAAGGACCATTATAATGTAAGCATAAAAATCATTTCTATACTACTTTTATGCAAAAAAAATTTAATGTCAAAATCTAAAATTAAATAATAATATATCTAAATTTAATGAACACTATACTCCATAACAACTCTTACTAACGCATAATGGCTTTGCAACCATTGTTTATTGTCTAAAGAATTAACTTATCTTTTACTTTACCACTTGCTCTTATTTATTACCATGTTCATTCTCTTCTTGATTACTTTATTCTCTATAGTCTTCTCCTAGTTTGATTATTGACTTCTTCTTTAACATCTCGCTTACATACTTTCTTCTCTTAATCCAAACTTAAAAGCTAATTGACTAACTTGGCTTGCATTAAAGATAGAAGTAGACTAAGCCTTTTGATGCTATTTAGACTAATTTGCAGGCATACCATCATTGGATTCGAAAAATATAGTAATGTTGATCCGTCAAAAAAAAAAAAGATTTATATTCTTTCTCTTTTTAGGACCACTATGAATAATGGATTAAAGATAAAAAAAAGATGGAGAAGATACATAGTCTTTTATTGATTGATTCACGTGACTAAGGAAAGATATGTAATCTCTCAATAATATTACGTATCTATATGTTGTATTATATTTTAGGTCCTTAGGATGTCCTGTTTATTTATAGATGAAAATAGATGGTCTAAGATAAGTAATTAAGAGTGTCTCTTCCATCAAGTTTATCTTCTAAGAAATTATATCATAATTAAAAAAGTATATTATTAGATAAATATTATTATATTTAAAATATATTTTACATAATTAGATAGGATCATATAATCTAATATATAAATCATTATTAACACCTAACAAGTTAGGTAGTTCTAATTTTTAGTAAATAAAAAGATTGTTCATGGTACAAAATGAGCTTCTAAAAATAAGAGAGTCGAGTCAGATACATACTATCCAGAAATAATTATTATTAGTGATGTAAAAAAGTAAAAGAGATCTAAAAATATTATTAATAATTATAAATAAATATTTAAATAATTTTAATTTAATTGAAGTTATAATTTTTAACCTAATCGATCATAAATTTATTTAGATATGATATAGGAAATGCTCATCCCAATCAAGACTTAACATATGACAATCAAATCAGGACTTTCCATAGTCGGCTTAATATGAAATTTAAAAAAATATTTTACTCATATTATAGAATATTTTTTCTTATTAAATCGATTATAAAATCTCATCGGATCACGATAATTGAGGTCAATTATAGTTTTACTTAAAATATTTATTTTTTTATTTTATGATTAACTAAAGAGTCGAAGAGATCATATTAAAAATCGCACTTGAGCTTAATTATTTTTTAATGTAAGTCGATATTTGCTCCGGTATCTCAAATCTTCTTGGTTCTATTTAATTTTCTAACACATATAAATTCCAATCAAATCTCAAACATCAATAATATCTCTTACGTCAGGATATTGAAACTTGTTTGACAACTCCATTTGACTCTAATAATTATTGGACAAATCCATTCGATTCTAATAACTGTATTTATTTATAGCCACTGTTCGATGCGCACCCACATAGAAACTAAGAAAAAGCAACCATGGTTTCCTTTAGCTCGTAGTTGTTGGTGGCATACAATGACATTAATTGCCACTACATCTCCGTAGTCAACCATGTCCAAGAAAGTTTGCAGTAGAAAATGGAGATGACGCGGAAAACTAGCAACAAGGAGAGACTCAAAGATGGAAGCAAACCAGTAAAAGATGAAGTGGTGGCCATTTGGTGCACCATTGCTTCCCATAAACTTCCATGCATTCTTTTTATGACTAGCAAATGTAATGTAAAGAAAGAAGTGCACGCCATACTTTCAAAAGGGTACTTAAAAAAGATCAAAGGAAGGGACAAAGGAAGCTTATGTTGTCCATGACTTTTTGGTGCCTCATTGTCTTCCCTTTCGGTGGTGCTTTGTTGGATTCATTTTGTTCATTTGAGATAATAATAATTATAATTTTGTACTCTTATTCCTATAGTGTCCTCACTCGTTAATTAAGCATTGCTAACATTGTTTAGTATACGAAGTGGAGTGCCAAGCATGTGGCTAGAGAAATAACTTATGTAAGCTGGAGTATCTTAATAATGACATGAGGGAAACATCAAATTATTAATTTGATGTGCTCCTTAATTACTAACAACATATTGTACTGTTGACAAATAATCCAAGGTGGATTGATATCTATGGGTTGAAATCATGGTTTCACTTTATTCTCTCATATTATAATTATATTGTTTGCTCCTTTAGACTCCCTCTAATCATTTTTCTTTCTTTCGATTCCATAAGACTAATTATATATTATCTATATTATCCTTTAGCATCATGGTTCTTATATTTTAAAAACTTATATTAAAATCTTTATAATTCTGATATTAAAAAAAATAATTTTATTTATCCTAACACCATCTGTTGTATTGATGAAAAACATAATATGTAACTCGATCGACACGAAAATGATGGATAAAAGGATAATTCTAATATTTTTTTTTAAAAAATATTAAAATTATATTTTTATCAATTAAATCGTTAGAAACATAAGAAATATTAAAATTATTTTTTTTACTAATCATTTTCATACTAATTTAACATGTGATATCACGTATTGTGTTTTCTATCAATACAACTAATAACGTTACTACAAATATAGTTATTTATTTTATTTTTAAAATTATAAGAAACATAATATATATATTTTAAGTACAGAGACCATGATGTTAATAGGATCCAAATATAAGGAATAACCTATAATTAGCCCTTTGGTGATAAATTGAAAATTCAACGGTAGTCCGCTATACCAAATTTTATTTGACCTTACAAAGAGAAAAGTCTTGCCTCCGACTAAGTAGATTGGAAAATTCAATCCTTCTATTTTGGTGGCATCCGACGCTCACTAAGGGATCTGGTCAACGTCAGAATTCTGGAAGAAAGAATGGATGCATCGAGTCTACTTAGTCAATTTAGAGGCAAGGCTGTCGTTGAATCTCTAGTCTATCACTCAAAATTCATCTTATCGAGATACCGAGATTATGAGGAAGCAGGTTTTGTAGGATTTCCAGCGACAGTAGTAAGATTTAAGCTATTCTTTGATTGAATTGTTCAATCATAGAACTGGAAAGGCGATTCTAACATATTTGTCCTCTTTTTAGACATGAGGTGGCTTTCGATAAGTGTACAAACTGGTATCTCAATCGAGCATCAACTTTATGGATCCAATTAATTGTGTTGTGACAGGTAAGACGTACCCCTTTGCTATCCCATTCTTCTCTGCATCCTTGCCATAATTCAATTATATTTTTAATTCATTTAATAATAAATAATATTTTATTTTTTTGAAATGGACTCGAATATGAGATATATAATAAATAATACAGTAACTGTGAATTTTGATGTGTCGGCGGATACCAAACTCTCTCAGAAGGGGAAGGGGGAAAACGCGCTTACTTTTTACGCCACTCGGTCGGTAATAACAATTGGGCGTAGCTGCTGACGCGATCCAACGTGTCATGGTCCAGAAACACCGCGACATGTTGACGGGTCGCCGTTCAACAGAATGCTGCAGGGGTATCTGTGTCATTTCGCCTGTCCCCGTCATCGCGCCTTTATACTTCGCCTCCGCCTCCCATCGTCTGCGCCTCTCTTCCCTCGCCGCCCGATCGAGCTTCCCTCGATACCCTCCTCCTCCTCCTTTCGCGGTCTTGACAGATCCGGAACCGGCGCCGAATGCTCCGTCCTTGTTCATCGTCTCCGGAGCCCTGATTTTTGGTTTGTTTTTTGGTTGCCGCGGATTGGATCATCTTTTGCGAGCTCGGATTGGGTGGCTTGGTGCTGTCGATGGGCGCCGGGGCGTCGAGCATCACGGGGCCGGATGGGGAGACGGGGGGCCACGAGACGGGGCTCGGGGACCTGCCGGAAAGCTGCGTCGCCGCTGTGCTGCTCCACCTCGACCCTCCGGAGATCTGCCGTGCGGCGCGGCTCAGCCGGACGTTCCGGGGCGCTGCCTCGGCGGACTTCGTGTGGAAGGCGAAGCTCCCGGAGAACTACGTGCATCTGATGGAATTGGCCTGCGGTGGGAAGAGCCCGAGTAGCAGAAAGCGGCGCCTTTTCTTGAAGGAGATTTATGCGCGGCTGTGCCGGCCGAATCCCCTCGATGGGGGCACCATGGTGAGATTTTTTTTTCTTGATTATATTCTATGGATATAACGAAATTTTGTTTTAGGTAGGTATCTGTGTGGTCGACCACTTGGATCTTTGGGTTAAAATGGATTTTGTCTTGTATAATTTTGTAGAAGGAAGTGAATAAATTGGTCATCTTCTTCCTAATTTAGGGCTTAATTTATGTTTTTTTTACTTTGGATTTAAGGAATTCTGGCTTGAAAAGAACCGGGGTGGCGTTTGCATGTCAATTTCCTCAAAGGCGTTGCTTATTACAGGGATTGATGACAGAAGATACTGGAATTATATCTCGACGGACGAATCCAGGTACATAAATTGAATGACGCTAATTATTATTTGATTCGGTTCTGTTCCTCTTTATTTCAACGGATGATAGGCAATTAATATGTCTGATTACTTGATGTGATGTAGTTTTTGCTTTATTTTCTTTCTAATCAAACAATCTTTTTAAAGGTGGAATTGAGTAGTCCTAAAATGATCTTCCTAAACATTACTTCGAACATATCATCTACTTAACCTCTCTTTCGATATCCTCAGTCAATTTTGCCTTGCGAGAAAAAAAAAAGTCAATCTTGCTTGGCTTTGTCACAGTTGCAAAAGTTCGTCTGAACAGGCATCTATAAATAGAAGATTGTTTAACCCTATTTTACATGATTGGTTCACTCATATCTATAATTCTGTGTTTGCTGGGTTTTGTGAAATCCTTGGCATTTGCACATAGTGCATACATGATTATATATGATTTTTGGCCATTCTCCTTTGTTGAAGAACTGTCAGATGTATTTTTGTTAAAGAATTTGTGGGCAATCTTTATGTGGTTTATCTAGGTTTATTTTTACCTAGCTGATTTCGGTAGTTAGGAATATTAGGTGATTTCCAAATGCAGCTATAAGATCACCTTCCTGTATATTAATCATCATGGTTAGACTGAAATGCCAGACACTGTTGCAGGCAGACATCATTATTTGTTGGAAAATGACCATGTGTATTAATATGAAATGAACATGTAATACATCGAGCAAAGAAGGATTAAATGTGGTCCTTTTTCTATCATTTTTGGGATATCCCATTCGTTTAAAATTTCTTAAAAGTTCCATTCATCCTTCTTCCAGCACTTCAGATTCTTGACAGCTTACTGGTGGCTTTTCAGGACGTCCCATGTCTTTCCTTTGTATTCGTGTCTTGGTATTATTGCTTCTTCTGTAGTACATTTTAAAGAAAACAAAGTGAAATGAAGGAAAAACAAGAATTGCTGATGGTGGACTCCTTTCTATAATAGATTTCCAACCTCTGATTGTAAAAAAGACAAGATTTGCTGAGGTTAGCCGAGAATTGAGCACAAAGTTGTTGATATTAGGTTGAGAGGGGATGCCTTTTTGAGTCATTGAGCTGTGGTGAATGACAATGGACTCGTAAAGCCAATTTATCTAAAAAGATAAGGACTGACGATTAATATTTTTATTGGTGAATTGGTTCCTATGAAATAAGCTGCACCTAAATTTCTGTCTTTGATGTTGTCTTTAACTGTTAAACTGTGGTAATCTTTATGCAATTGCATCTTGTACTATGTGGATGAGGACTAGTGCATACTTAATCGTGTGGATTTGAAGTAAGCTTGTTAGTCATTTATCTAGAAAGCAAGAAGATTTCTTCCAGCCATGCTGTTGCATATTGATACTTTCCTACTCTTTTCTTTTGCCTTGTACCGCCTCTTTGCAATGGTAATAATTCTGTTGATGTGCGTGGGCTTGTTACATGTATTGCAGAAGTGTCACCTCTTTTGAGGGTTTGACAGGGTTGAAGTTGTCTTGCTTTCTTTGGGATATATATTTGTCATTTTAATTAACTTTATGCACCAGTAATTGAATTTACTCAATCAGAATGAGATGATGTATTGATCAAGTTGGTGTTGGTATAGGCTGATTGAAATTGAAAACACATATGACTTACCTTTAATTTTCTAGTGTTGTGATCCTGATGCATTTGATAACATACTGCTCTAAGTGAAAACGCATGACTTACCTTTAATTTTCTCTTTGCAGATTCCATACAGTTGCTTATCTTCAGCAAACTTGGTGGTTCGAGGTGGATGGGGAAATAGATTTCTGCTTCCCTGCTGGTGCTTACAGCCTGTTCTTCCGGCTCCATCTGGGTCGAATCTCCAAGCGACTTGGCCGTCGGATCTGCAGCTTCGAACATGTCCATGGATGGGATACAAAACCAGTGCACTTTCAGCTGTCAACTTCAGAGGGTCAGATTGCTACATCTCATCGTTATTTAGATGAACCTGGGAGATGGATCCTCTGCCATGCTGGAGATTTTGTTGTGGAAAACTCGAATGTGTCAACCAAGCTCGAATTCTCAATGACGCAAATTGATTGTACACACACAAAGGGTGGCATCTGCGTTGACTCGGTGTTGATATATCCCAAAGGATTCATGCAGGAAAAAGTCTTTACCTCCAGCTTATAACCATTTTGAGTGTGGTCTCTAAACAACAACCTTGATGTAGGAACAGTAGAAGGTAGCAAGTTCGCTCTGTTCCCTAGTCATATTTATATAGGGTGCATGGCAATGTCTGTATATGAGTCCCCATTCTCATTTTTATTGAGAATGGGAATTCGGTGATGGTTTTGTTCGAGGACTACCAAGACTTCTTCTAAAGGACACTTCTTTGAGTAAATCTTTTACATAGTTTAGGCAAATTGAGTGACATGGTTTCGGCTATGACGGATGTAATCCAGTTATAAATCTTTCATGCACCCAAGTTGTTCTCAGTGCTCTCACATTAATGTATACTTTTGTGTGCGTGCGTCGCGTGTACACAACACTGCTGGATGTAATTGTGAGGTAAATTGTATATGATCCGTCATTCATTTTCATGGTATTGTGACTTCTACCAAATCATATATGCTAAAGCTAAAGGTTCTTTCTCCAATAAACTTTTGCATTCACCGAGCAAAAAATAGAGATGAATAAAATGTCATGTCATCTTGATTATTATTATTTTTTGTCTGTATTGAAGATGTTCATATGTCAGGACAAGATTTTTAAGATTATAGTGCTATTATCATCCGAATCAAAGCATGATGGATTTAACCTATGAAAAGTTTAAATTACAGGCTCTTTACTCACTAAACCAACCTACACTCGACACATTTGATTGATGGATTTAACCGTACCAATCGATGAAATGTTAGGTTTTAGCACTTCGATCAACGTAATGATTTTTGGGAAATTAATCTTTGCCTTTTCTTACCTTCCGATAGTGAATTTGGAGATGCATATAAACTTAATATTGCTTCCCCTATAACAGCATTCCATCAAAACGTGCCATCGAAATCTCGCAGTCTTATACCACGCACCGAGCACCGATCAACCCAAATGCCTACGTGACAGGTCATATAAAAATGGTGATGGCTGTATGAGGCGCCTCATTTTAGCCGCACCAAATCCAAGAGAAAGAACTTGATGACACGGCAGGCCAACACCCAGCCTGCGGCACGTCACGCTTCCTCAAGATTTCTTCTTAATTGACACACGTACCTGTTCTCTTATTGGACGCTGAGTTACCCAAACTTAAGTCTTGCTGGGGCCCAGCAGTGGTTCCAATGGTAGATTAGGTAGTTTTTGTGACTAAATAACATAGACAGATCAGCATCAGTCTATTTTTGAAAGAGTTTCGTTTCTCTCTCTCTCATCGCCAAAACAAAGCGACTTAATAGAATACGGAGGCGGCGGTAGTGTTGCCCCCTTTCAACGAATCCCTGTAGCTCTTCTTCCTTCCTCTTCCGCTTCTTTCAAGGTATCTCTCTCGCTCGCCCCATTCTTCTCGCAAGATTCAATCAACCGTTAACGAGATCTGGGAACTATTAATTTGTTTCTGGAGAATTTTCTTTTCTATGTGATTTGTCTTGTATTTATTGCCAATTCTCCGATTTATGATTTATGTTGCCTCGTTCTGTGCGCATCATGGATGGATTGCGATTTGTGCGATATTTAGATCGCTAGCTTTATTCCGTCGTCATCTTGCGGTTTAACAATCGATCGTTCATGAATCGAGTACTTGTGGTGGTAATGAGTGGATCCCTAGCAGTGATTGATGTGACATATGATCCGATGATATGTTCGTACATGTGCCTTTTGTTCAGCTTGCGCGATCGATTTATATGCTTTCCATGTTTCTAATCGTTAGGCTACGGTCAAAGCATGTTAAAATTCGATGGGGTTTATTCCCAACATTTTGTGCCCTAAAAATGACATTTGTAGATTCTGCCATCCAAGCATAATTACGCGCCATTTTTTTTTATCGTCTCGTTTGCAAACGTGATACTCTGATCGGCAGGTCTCAAGATAACAGCATGATTGAGATATTGTTATTAGTTATTACTCTTGATTATCAAATTCCTGGTATTTTTTACATGAACTTTCACGATGCTTGTTGTTTGCTGATCATACTGTTTCATTTGATGATGGTTTATTTGATATATTGTTGAACTTGTGCTACTGAGACATGCTAGAAAATACAGTTCTAACCTAAGAAAAACTAATACCAATCTCAACATAAAGTGCAAATTTAGCAATATCAGGAGAAGATTCATGGCATGGTCAACAAAAGATAGACAAGAATTTAGTATTAGAGCTTTGGATTCTCTGTCATCTAGCATGAAGGCAATATTAATGAAGATAGCATTCACATATTTGAAGTTGGATAATCATGGAAAGAGACATCAATGGGCAATCATTTTTTGTTTATTTCTTAAGATTTGTTTGTCTTGATGATATTTACACATTATCAATGGAATAGTAAAAATGAGGAAAACAAAGTCTGAACTTCATGACATCTGTCAATAGTGATTCTAACTAACATGGCATAAAAATGAAGAACCAATCAAGCATGTCTTATGAGTAAACTTCTCAATTGGAAACTCTGGTGAATCTCACAAAAAGAAACATACATGTGATTTTTGTTAGAATCAAAGATTTTAGAATGTAGATCAATTTGATTGCTTAGTAGGATACCCAGTTAACTCAGGCAACAGATAATTATCATAGATGTAGTCCATGTCCATCATAACTGTTTATCACTGGCCGGCGATGCAATTATAAGACCTTATGTCTATATTTAGTACACAATCTAGAAGTATACTTGATGTGGAACCATTTTGATTCTTTTTTTCTTGAATAATATTTTTTAGGATTTCTTTTGTAAATTTCTCACATGAGAATATTTATTACAATGCTATATATGTTATCACGATTGCCAAAGAAGAAACAAGAAAGCCAAACAAAAAGGAATGAGTCAATAATTGGTCTGATTGATGATCCTAATGAACAAGTAGTTTAACATTGAATTTGATTGAAGATATCAAATTCAATCAGATTGTAGATGGATGAAAGTCTTTCAATCAGATATATCATCAAAAAAAGAGATTTTTCTTTAGATCAAGTCTCTAATTTTTTTTTTTCAGAGAAGTAAAAAAATAGATGATTGATTGCATCGAGACAATCGTAATCTTTTTTTATTTTTTATTTTTTATTTTTTCTTGTAATTGGGGTCTACAAAGGGATTGTACTTGGGATATGAATAAATCATAGAATTAATTAATTAAAATTATATTATCTTATGAATGGTGTGAGGTCATATTTTAAGTTCCAATGGTATGATCACATCATCCACATATGAAATGTGTGGAGGTGTATGACCTGCATCACTGGAATTTATTTTTTGAGACACAATGAGTAGTGTAATTATCTTTTTTCCCGATTTTTCACTTACTATTGTTATATTTTCTTTTCTCTTTTTCTTCCTCTGTTATCATAAAAGAAGTCTTTTGCTTGTCAAAATAGTATCGGATCTCTTCCTACATCTATAATAGACTATATGTTATCATAAATTAAATGATACTTTCTGAATACAATTTTAGTTGCTCTTTGTTGAGAAATTTATTATGATCATTAAACAATTTAAGGTGTCTCTGTGGAGTGAGACACTTTGTAATGAAAACTAAAATTCTGTCTTTGTAAGTTGTTTTACTGCAGGGCTGTATGGCTAGCTGCTTTTGATACACTTGATAAGTGTAGCAGATTAGACTCATGAACAAGCCACCAAGGACAAAATACTTGCTTGCTATGAACTAGTTACAAGATGGAAATTTACCAACTGAACACTAAAATCTGTTATTTTATTATGTCCAGGCACAAATTCTTCTTTCAAGTCAAAGCAATAGATATACCTATAGCTATGAAGAATGGACACCATATTTGAACAAACTATATTACAGATGACAACATATTAGATATACCTAATAATAAAATAATTTATTTGCTTTATTACAGATGAAAAACATTAAAGATAGACCTAGCTTGCTTGACTCGGAAGCAACTACCTCAAACAATATGCTATGCCTCTAGCCTGAAATATGTGTATTGGTATACATCATGGATTTATCACAATTTTATGACTGTCCTATGCTGGTCTGATGACTAGTATGTAGGAAAACATATTGTACTGTACCAGAATATATCAACACTTACTAATATTTTGTATGTCCTTTTATAGATATATCAGGGACAATAAGGTAAAGCATGGAAGCCAAATTATAAAACAACATCATTAGAAGCCTTTGATGCTACCATGTTCATAAAATGAAAAGTATCCATCTTGTCTATGATTAGATATTGTCATTCATTAACAGGAAAAATATTTTAAACTTGTGCACAAAAATCTGCCAAGTATTTCGGATACATTTGTATTTTACTAATTGTTAAAATAAAAGGGATTCTTTCATTCAAACATGTCTTCATTACTTTTGTCTGCTAGGTTTCTCTTTGTATTTCATAATCTCAAATCTGATTAAATTGTCTATAATATCGTTGGAATTGGTTTAGATTCTTCTTTTGACACTGCCTCCTACTGACGATTGAAATTGGGTACTATCATTGGTCATCAGACCCATGACTATCACATTAGATGCTACAAGAGCAGAGCTTGCGCTCTTGGTTTTGTATTTGAATAAAGCTGAAGCAAGAGATAAGATTTGTAGGGCTATCCAGTATGGCTCAAAATTCTTGAGCAATGGAAAGCCTGGCACCGCACAGAATGTTGATAAAACAACTAGCTTGGCACGTAAAGTGTTTCGACTTTTTAAGGTGAGATTTACTTTTTTGTGGTTGGAAATAGACGATTGAATGGTTCCTGCTTTTATGTTTTTGCAACCTCATCTCTTTAATGTGCAGTTTGTTAACGATCTACATGCTCTTATAACTCCACCATCCCCAGGATCTTCTCTCCCTGTCATTTTACTTGGAAAGGTATGTAGATAGTAATTTTTTCTGCAGTATATTTGCAGGAGGTCCTTTCCGCTTTTAGCTTACAAAATGATTTGTGCAGTCAAAAAATGCATTGTTGTCAACATTCTTATTTTTGGATCAAATTGTCTGGGCAAGCAGAACAGGGATATACAAGGTTTGGGCTTCCCGAATCAACTCTGAAATTATAATTTCTGGCCTCTTTTACATGTAAACAAGTAGAAAGACTGATTTATTCATTTGTATCAAAGAATAAAGAGCGTGCAGAGCTACTTGGCAGAATTTCTCTTTATTGTTGGATGGGATCTTCAGCATGCACCACTTTGCTTGAGGTTTGTGTCATTGCTCTGAATGTTCACCTTTTTGGACTTAAATCTTTGAAAAAACACGTGGCAAACTTTGTTGTATGATGAGTATCAGCAATTTGTTAGTATTTTGTTCCATAATCTATTGCTCAAGCATAGTTATACCTTATATCAACTTTTAGTTAGGAGAACTTGGGAGAATATCTTCAGCAGTGACGAAGTTAGAGAAGGAGCTGAAGCATGTCGACAGATCTAAGGTATGTTTGTCCATAATTCACACCATCTCTGGGTGTTTTCTTTTGTGTTCAAAATGCTCTATGTTCTCCTCGTGAAATTTCAGGATGAGCAGTACCACAACAAGATCAAGCAATTAAATCAAAGGCAGCTAGCTCTGATAAAAGCCTCCATGGATTTTGTGGTTGCTATTGGGCTGCTTCAACTGGCCCCAAAGAAGATCACACCTCGAGTGACGGGAGCCCTTGGATTCGTAACTTCTCTCATTTCCTGTTATCAGGTAGCTCTTACTAAATCAACCATAACTTTTCAAGAGAATCTCTGCAAAATTCTGATTCCCCGTTTTTTGCTGGCTTTGCTTTGCCACAGTTGCTTCCTGCACCAGCAAGGGAGAAGAAAGCATGAATGTGGCGGCAGTCTTTAAATCTTGGATATTTCTATCTGCCAAAAAATAATCTTAGATGTTATTAAGAACACTCCACATCAGGAGGAAAGACCCATAAAAGATGAAAATCCAAGTCACTGATGTATTCTGGATGACCGTTGGTAGATGTTTCTGGAAATTACGTCTGTTTGAATGCGTCAAGTACTTCTTATGTAGGGTTTTGATGCAATACTGTTAGAAGTTTATGCTTTTGTGCCTTCTAATGAAATCAAACATTTTCCTGTGATTCTGCATCTGTTTCACATCGGACACGTACTTTGGGTTCTCTTAATTTGGACCCGACTCGAGGTTCATTTGACTTCGATGTGTGATGCATCATTGAAGAGAGAGATTAGCCAGCACTTGTAAGCAACTGAGGACGTGAGAGCGAATTGTTCATAAGCTAATTTTATAAACTCACAATTCTACCTTTACCATATAGAATTTGGGTACATAAATATGTGATGCAAATGATTATATTGCATTGAAGCGGGAAATCATCATTGATGTTAATTCTACGTGGTCCAAACCCGAGGATATAGGAATATCTGAGGTGAGGAGGAAATGTTGGGCTCATAAGGTGGTCCCTATATTAAGACTGATGTTAGAAAAAAAATTTCTAACTCGATCCTTTGACGCTCAAATCAATCATTGAGGTCTTTTTAAAAGAGCCTCCAATGTAGAATCGAGAATTATTATTTATTTTGGGTCTTGTAGGGGATAATTTGTAATCACTCCAACGTTCCTCTCTTGATGTTTTGTCCACGTAGACGGTAGGGAGAGAGAGCCTTAAATAGCTTGCCTTACTTTTGTCCATGCGAGCAGACAAACTGGTGATGACATGAACTTTTCTCTGTCTACGATAGCTTCCATGTGGCACTTACGTGTCGGATGATGATTAACTATTAATATATCTCATATCATGTCTCTCCCCTCCCTCCCTTAAGCGTGCTTTGGTGCTCTTGTTTAGATAAGCTCGGAGTGTGAAGTTTAATTCATTTGATAGGCCTATTGCTAACTTGCACCTTCATCCGACTCATGCCACTAGGCACATTTCGCCTTGTGCTTATGTCGTGGCAGATTTCTCTTGGTGTAGGTCGGGATTTTCTAAATTACATGCCTCAAGCACATTCCACTCTGCGCCACCACTATGGCGGATTTCTCTTGACGTGGGCCAAGTTTTCTCGACTCATGCCTTGGGCTCATTTCGCCCTATGCCTTTGCCATGGTAGATTTCTCTTGGCATAGATCAAGTTTTTCCGACTCACTCGCCTCGGGCACATTTCACTCTGCACCTCCACCGTGATGGTGTTTTTTTTTTTTTGCATGAGTTTGATTTTCCCAACTCACATGTCTTGGGCATATTTCACCTTATGCCACCACTGTGGTGGATTTTTTTTAGCGTGGGTCAGGTTTTCTCATCTCACATACCTCAAGTATATTTTGCTCTATGCCTTTGTCATGGTAGATTTTGAGTCCTCATCCCATCATGGCAGGCTTCATGTCCTTTCTCTACCATGATAGATTTTGGATCCTCCTACCGTGTGGCCTTCAAGTCCTCTCTTCGTCATGGTGGATTTCGAGTTCTCCTCTTGCCATAGTGGACTTCAAGTCCTTTGTTGTGACAAATTTTGGATCCTCCTATCGTGGCGAGCTTCAAGTCTCCCCTCATCGTCATTGATTTCGAGTCATCCTTCCACCGTGGTGGGCTTCAAGTCCTTTTCTTGTCACCGATTTTGGATCCTTTTATTATCAATGTCCTTTGGGAATTGCCCCGAAGTGACACTTGTTTTGATCATAAGAGAATAGAGAGATTGGCATCTTCTTTATAAATTTTCCCCCCTTCTAGGGTGGTATTCATTCTTCCATCTAAGCCTCCAAAGGCCCTAGTCTTCAGAGCCTCCCCGGAAGCTTTTAGTCTCACCCCTAGGGCCTCCTTAGGAGCATTTTATACCTTGCCCTAGTTCTTGGATGGGTGGGTTAGTCTTCCAATCCTTTGTCCTGGTGTTAGTTCTGCAACAAACTAGTCATTAGTCATCTTGCTCCATCTCAGGTCAAGATGTTTTTCATTTCTTGTACAAGTTTCTCTCGATCCTCTAGTTGCTAGTTGATCGAGGTATGTGCTTCGTCTTTAGACATTTAAAGGGTGGAGGAGGTTGTGTCCTCCCCTTTATCGGAGGAGTCATCTCCTATGAACCTGAAGGTTCTTCAGGACTTGGAGCTTATAAAAAGTTCATATGACTATGACTCAATGGTAAGCATGCCTTTCTTGGATCGCTTGCAAACTAGGTATTATAATTTGGCCGAGTTTAATCTACAAGTCTCCCGACCTGGTCAATGCCCTTTCGACACCATGCTCGGGCCTTTCTGCTTATCTTGCAACACTCTCGAGGTAGGACTTCATCTTCCCCTCTACTTGATAATAGTGGTCTGCCCTTCTCAAATGACACTAAACTCGTGACACTACATAATAGTGTTCATCGAAGAATGTCGATGTGCAAATATTACTCTAACCCGAACCCTTCTTGTCACTTATTTTTTGTTATGCAAGGGGATAAGTAGCCTAGCTACTCAAGGAGGTTTCAAGGTTAATGGTGTCCTTTCCAACCACAAAAGTTGGAAAGAGTGCTTATTCATCGTGAGTTCAAGTTGAGATTGAGAATTCAACTTTGTTGAGTCGACACATTGCATTAATAATACTTATCCCTTCTTGTCAAACGTGGAGACGAGTCAAGTGCTTCAATTGAGGGACATATTCTCTTCTTCCAAGGTAGTCCAAAAGATGGATGAGGAATAGCTGATCGATGTGAGTCTTAACTCAGCTCCTCGAGGTATGACCTGAACTTCCCATCACTTCACTTCATCTTTTTTAGTCCTCAACCTTGTAATTTGGATCTCTTATAGGCATGGATCTGCACTCTTCAAAGAGGAAGGTGCCTGATTTCTCGTCAGGCATGGTGGAGTCCTGTTTGGCCTAGGTTGCCACTCACGAAACCGTCGGTAGAGGCACTAAACCCACCTTAGTCTGATTGTCACGGTAGTACTAATAAATCGATGAAGAAATATAAAATCTTTGTAAGGAAGGTCTCACGCCCTCAAAGGGATGATGCACCCAAAAAGTTATCCTAGGAAAGGGAGCCTCCAACCACTACAGGTCTTCTAGGTCTTCCACGATATGCCTACGCCACCCGGAGGTTGAAGTTCCAGGTCTTCCTTAGAGAAAAAGAAGAGCGTGCCGAGGTTGATGTTAGACTTGTGCAAAGGAAAGCCCCTACCCTTTATGGTTTTACAGTTGACCAATCTATTAGACTCAGCTCTAGATGTGCCACTGCAACTAAGGTGGGAAGGCTTAAAGGATATGCATAAGGTGCGGGACAAGGGCGTGGCTACGAAGCAATATTACCACGAGTCCTTGTGCTCGGGGATGGTGAAGCAGATCTACTGCTCCCCCTCGGAGGTCCTAATTAACACTTGCTACCAAAATTAAGTGGTGGTAAGTTAGGTGGTGGCTAGCTCCTTTAGTTTCACCTTGTTGACTTTTTTTTTTTTACTCACAATACCACCACTACGTGACGACCCTCATTGATCGTCTCTTATTGATCATGTTTGAAACACTAGCACTATTATTCACTGGCAGTCTCTTATAGTTAATGACGTCCAAGTTGTGGTCGAAGAGTTGAAGGGGAGAGGAGCCCCTTCTACAGTCGCTGAGGTGAAGGCTTAGGCGGCTAAGCTAGCATATTAATTAGATGCCGAGCAGCACCTGGCTAGCCTAACCAAATAGCTGAAAGAGGTTCAGAGTGATAATCAAGCCATGGAGGATGAATTATTGTGACTCACCCAGGAGTTAGACTTGATGAGGATACACAACTCGGAGATTACCAATGAGGTCACATCGACTATTGGGAAGGCTCGCTAGTTAAGGGAAGCATTGGAGGTCCAGCGAATGTGCAACTCGAAGCTTACCGAGGAGGTCATGCCGGCCAATGAGGAGGCTCACACATTAAAGGAGGCCGAGTGGAATAGGATATCAAAGTATCACAAGAAAGCAATTGCTAACTATAAGACATTCGTCGAGTTCAAGAAGGGTTTGGAGAGGACAGGGTCACCTTATACCGATTCTGGTACAAAATCATTTTGTCTCATTTCAATACGAGGTATCCTAAGCTAGAGCTTGAGGAGGATTAATTCATAGTCACCCCAAGGACTAGGACATCTCAATGTCGATCAAGATGCCCTTTGACGATAGTCTTAACTCGTCACCTCACCTTGCCACTTGATATGTCATATTCAACTTGATCTCTTTTTTGGTTGTCGAGTCAATCTATTTGACTTTTCCTTTTATCCGCCCCACTAATGCTTTATTTTGATAGATTGGGGCTTTATCTTGGATGTAGAAGCTTGTCCTAGTTAATGTAATCCTTTTAGTAATAAATTTTTTTCTTTTTTATTTGCAACTAGCACTTTAAAGATACATTATACAATCAACACCCTAGGCTTGACATGCCAATATTTGATACTTAGAGTATCATTCTCTCCTAATTGACCTTGACTTTTCAGATAACCAGGTTCCTTAGTCCAACCTCTAGAGGGTGAACTCCTCGATCATAGGTGTATCTTAGCGCTCGTAGGTGTGTTTCGGCTCTAATTTCACTAATCAAGTCAAACCCAACTTAAAATCCCTCGGAAGTTACTTTATCAAAGCTCTCAATCTAAGATCTCGAGAAAACTATCTTGGGTGGCAGGATAGTTTTGGTGCTAAATGTAAGGCTAAATGATAATTCTCTCAAGTCATTCTTGAGTGTCATTTGAGAGGTCCATAGAATGCTTTGCATTTCATCCTCTTATGTACCATTTGTTCTAATGATCCACTTTTTTAATCCTTCGAGAATGGCTTGGTTGGTGACCTCGACGAGAAGTATTTGGCCTCATTGTTGGAGATTTTAAATTTGAACTGGAGAGCTTGTTCATACAACTACTTGTTCAGGTCCTTTAGGACAAGTCTAGCACTACTCATTTTCGAGGTGCTGGAACCATCCATGAATAAGGTCCATGTTGAGGGGGTGTGATTGTCGGCATTGACGCTGTATGAGAGAGTCAACTCTGAAATAAAATCTATCAAAGCTTGAGCCTTTATAATAGTCCTCGGTACGTATTAAATGTCGAATTCACCCAGCTCTACTGATCACCTTAACAACCACCTCGAGACATCAAATCATAAAATAGCTTGCTTGAGTGGTTGGTCAGTGATCACCTATATGACATGTGCTTGGAAGAGATGGAGCTTCCTTACTACCAGTACTAACGCAAATGTCAGTCCCTCGATAGGGGGTATCACTCATCAAGTCTACTTATGACATGATTGACATAATAAATAGACTTCTAAATTCCCAAGTTGTCTTACACAACACCAAGCTGACAGCTTGCTCGGTGGTGACGAGATAGAGGCTTAAAGCTTTACCCGAGGTAGAGGAGAGTTGTGGTAACTAGGCAAGGTGGTATTTTAAATCTTTAAATGCCTTCTAACACTCATCAATCTATAGGAAACTCTTTGGATTCTTCAATGCTTGGAAGAAGGATAGATATTTATCACCGAATCAAGATAGGAACTAGTTAAGCATAGCTATTTGCCCTATTAATTATTGTACTTCATTTACCAATTGAGGTGGGCTGATCATCAATATAGCTCACACCTTTTTGGGGTTGACATATATTCCTCTCTAGTGAATAATGAATTCGAGGATTTCTCCCAAGCTAACTTCGAAAGCACATTTAGATGAGTTAAGGCGCATGTTAAACTTTTTCATAACTTGAAATGTCTTGACAAGTCCACTAAATGTGTGTTCGTTGTTTTTTCTTTTTCTATAATGTCATCTACATAGAAGTCTATCTAATGCTTAAACATCTTATTCATCATCCTTTGGTATGTCACGTCTGTATTTTTCAACCGAAATGGTATAACTTGGTAACAATATATACCTCGATCGATAATAAAGGAGGTGTGTTTCTGTGGTGCCATCCTTTTTTTATTATATCCCAAAATTACATCCATGAAGGTAAAAAGCTCATGGCTCAAGGTAGCATTAACCAATTTATCAATTTGGGGAGAGGATAGTTGTCCTTCAAACACACCTTGTTGAAATTGGTATAATCAGTACACAACCTTTAATTTTTGCTAGACTTTTTAATCGATGTAATATTAGCTAGCCACTAGGGATACTGCACCTTAGTAATAAACCATACTCCTAATAGCTTATCTATTTCATCGCTAATCGCTTGCTAGCAATCATGAGCAAACTTGCAAGACTTTTGCTTCATCAATCGAGCCTCGAGAGAGATGTTCAAGTGGTGTTAGGCCACGTTTGGGTCGATTTTTAATATGTCTCTCAGTAACCATACAAACACATCGATATTCTCTTTGAGAAAATTAATGAGTTGCACTTGCTTCTCCTTAGGAAGTGTAGCATCGTCCTTGACAATATGATCAGGATGAGCCTTGTCTAGGGGTGCCTCAATTAGGGACTTCATTGGCTTTCGATGTGGGAGGGACTTAGCAAAATTACGAGGGTCCATCGACGATGCCTTAAGCCAAGCTCTCTTCAATAGGGAGATTGTTATTAGATAGCACTGGTGTGACTCTCTCGGGTTGTTTCTCAACTCTCCAACACTAATCCTTATTTAAAATTTCATCAACATATGATGGGTCGACACCTTTAGCCTATTGAGTGTGAGTCGACCTATGAATGCATTGTATATCGAGAGGATGTTGACCATCATAAATTTTGCCCTCATCATTTTGGAGTAGGGCTCATCGCTGAACGAAATGTGCAGTCTCATAGTCCAAGAAGATAGATGGAGTTGCCAATGAACCATGTTAGTAAAGAAGTCATAGGGATAAGATTGTTAGCTGAGAGCCCAAGTTTTTGAATAGTGTCAAAGTAGAGGATATTGATATAGCTACTTGTGTCGATTATGACTCTCTTCATTTGGGCATTAACCATCCTTATAGAGCCCACCAAGGTATCATCATGGTTTGGATCGAGGTACTCTATCTCTTCTTAAAGGTTATTTCCGAGTCATCTTTAGACCTTGGGTGCTTTTTGATGGTAGCTCGGGCATAGGCCTTGTGACTCGAAGAGTTATCTCCTCTCGAGGCAGGTCCACCAATGATGACATCGATCTACCTCTCCACTAACCCCTAAGGTCTGGGTGAGGGTTTCTGGTGCCTCCGGACGAACCTCCTGAAGTGTCCCCTACAAATGAGTTATTTGATTTGCTCCTACAAATCGTGATAGTCCTTTGTGTCCTGGATATAATCATAGTGGAAGTGGCAATACTTAGATTTATTTCTCCTCTCTAGGAATGTCTATATTGGTTTAGGGTCTTTTAAGAGTTATTTTCCCTTTATCTGTAAAAAGACTTTGGTATTTTTTAGTCATGTTCAAAGGAGTTGACTTGAACCTCAGCCAAGGTAGCTCAAGTCAATCATTTCTTCTTCGTTGTGGTGATCTCGGGGTTGCGTTGATGATAGTCGCTCTTGTCTTGGCCTTTTGCGTATCTTCTCATGTTATTCGAGACGATTGCCTTTGCAGCAATGCATTTGTTGGCCATTTGGAGTATCTCGGGTACGATGGCCTCTCCACCAACAACCAGAAAAAGCAAAAGGGCTTAAGCCCCATCATGAAGGCTTGTATTACAAGTGATAGATAAACTTCTTGCATGCCTCAAATCTCGTTAGTAAATCGAGCGATAAAGTCAGAGACTGCTTCTTCCTCCCTTTACCTAAGTCCGAGAAACATCACCAACGATGGCCTCAGGCACATTCTCGCGGAAGTTGAGCTCGAAATCCTTTGCGAGTTGAGCAAAAGAGCCTATTGAGAGAGGCTTCAAGCGAGCGTACCATTCTTATGACAAAACTCTTAATATTGTCGAGAAGGTGTGGCACATCAAGGCATCCAAGGTACCGTATAGCAACATCTAGGCGCAGAAGGCGATAGTGTTCTCTATCGAGTCAGTATTATCATCAAATGCCTCCAATGACATGAGGTGAAAGTTCGTCAAGATTGGCTCCTCGGGATCGTCTGATGTTTTCACTTGGGATTGCTCGAACTCTTGTCGTATCTCTTCAAGATGATGGTCCATTTGCCATAGTTAGATCCTTAGGGAGTTATCCATCGAATCCGTTGACTGGATCTCAGATTCGAACAGAACAGAGCAGTGGTGCATTGAATTCCACAGTTGGGGAGCAAGGTGCTCCCTTGACCAGTAGTTCCACAAGATTTGGGTGATCTTGAGATGTTGGCACCACATCGGGTGCCAGAGCTAGTGTTGGTTGAGGTATTGATCACGATTGAGATAGTGGTGTTGCTTGTTGGGTTAGCTGAGCCAGAAGGAAGGCAATAACATGCATCAAACTTGTTAGTGTCTACACAGGTGAGACTCAGAAACACCTTAATTGGGATGGATAAGTGGCTTAAGGTTGTCCTTGAGGGTGAAAAGCCTAGGTAATTGAATAGATGTCAATACTGTGTCGATATTTGCATTGAAGTGGACACATCCACATGAGGGAAGGATAAAAGCTGTCCCTCTTGAGTAAAGGTGCTATGGGTTCGAGGCAGGGCCTTCTCGTTGGAGTATTCGTTGAGGGGATTGAAGGGTAGATATTCCTACGATATCAGGCCCTCCTGACGTAAAAAATTATTCGGGGAAATCATCATCGACGTCTGAATCAACCTGATATAGTCTAAACTCATGGGCATAGGAGTGTCCAATGTGGCTCTAAGATCACGACTCGGAGAAGAAAGTGTCAAGCTCCCGATGTGATACATCCACTAAGACCGATGTTGAGAGAAATTTTTTGACCTGATTTTTCCAACACAAGTTATTTTTTTGAGTATGATTCGATATAGTATCGATGATTACCTTTTTATACCAAACCTGAGAGTGGATAACATAAGATAGACAACCCTAAATGACCTATATATATTAAATAACATTTTATAACTTTCTTCCTTTTTATAACTTTTACATGATGTATACATATTAAATAATAATTATATTAAATCATAAACTTAGGAACGAAAACTCCCGATAATGCCTTGTACTGGTAGAACTACGTGAAAGACCAGAGCGACAAATCTTGTTTGTTGTGATTCGGGCCTGCAGCATCGGATTTGCCATACCAACTAAACTAGAAAGTCAAATCCTCCTGTGCAACTAAGTTAACGTACCATTACTGGCAAGTCAAAGCCTCCTGTGGAACTAAGGAATGTGCTTGAAATAAAACTGAAGAGTTCTACAATAGTCAAAAATAAAGATAAGTGCAGAAGCACATTCCAAAGCCTAATTTCTAATAAGAAACAGAAAAGCTAAAGTCCTTGCATAGAATGGAACGGTGAACACTGCTAAATGCAGAGAGAACAAAACATCTAAATAATATAAGCTACACTGCATCATAGTTTTTTGCTTTCGCAGGTACCAGAACTTTGTCCCAAGATCTTTGGTGCCTTCATGGCGAGCGACTGCACCAACAAAATAATAGTTTGACAGTGTCAAATAACAAACAAACCTCAAACTGGTGAGATTTTGAAAAGACTAGGTACTAAGCACTCCTCACCTATAGTCCCTGTCATGAGCAGGACTCCGAGCTCTTTCATAGTTAGGACTAACCCTCTCGTCGGCCTTGGTATATGGACTGGGACCACGACCATAATCAGGGCTAGCCCTCTCCACACGTCTGCCATAAGGACTTAAAGATCGCCCACGATCACGGCTTCTTGACCTTTCCCGGCCTCTACGGTCAGGGCTATAGCCATTTCTTCTTTCATCGTCATCACGGACAGCATACTCCACAGAGATCACCCGATCCATCAACTTGCTGGTTGTCCAATTAATGAGAACATAAAGAAAATCCGACGTTAAACTCAGAAGAACTGCCTCGTATCATTCTAAAATAAGTGCAATTGAAAGAGTTTGGGAAAACATGAGCTTTGTTTAATTTAATTGAGATAAGTAATTTTGCATGTTAGATTCACTAAAATGAGTACATAAGCTCTACAAGTGCTGCAGTTGTCAATGTCAGCTTAGAAAGCCAGTCCAATTACTAGTGGGATAGTTGATAAAAAAAAAAGAAATAGCAAATGGTAGAGATTATTACACACGATAAGCAAATGTTCAAATTGAAGTGAACATAATGGACTGAAGCAAACATTAAGAACTTTCATGAATCCAGAAAGTTGGCCCAAAGTCGGCCACATGAATCCAGAAAACACTTTCATGATCTTCAGTACATTACACAGTGAAGGGGTTTCAAACCATAGGTGGTTGTAATTAATCCATGATGACTTTTGGTGGCAATGGTTGTATACATCTTAATCATAGTAGACGTAAGTGAAAAATGAATGGTGTCTATAGTTTACCACTTCTATTGTGTATGATGCCAGGAAGGCATCGAATTTATAAACATATTTTTAACAGCTATATTGTCCAGGTTACCAGTATTTGCAGAAAGAAAACCATGCTCCAATTACAAACACATGCAAGAGACCTTTAAAAAGGATATTTAAGAAACATATTAAGTGAACAAAAAGATATATCAATACAAATTCTTTTGGTTTAAACTGCTAAAATGGATGAATTTGAATCTAATGATGTCACTTTACCTCATGTGGGTGGCTTCCAAAGCTTTTGTAGCATCCTCCTGTAAGTCAAACTGGACAAAGCCAAAGTTCCTTCTAATCCTAACATTCAAAATTTTTCCATATGGCTCAAAATGCCGCTCCAAATCCCGTGTCCTGGTGTCAATTGGGTCAAAGTTTATGACAAACAAAGTCTTTGAAGGTCTTGTGTTAGCTGATGGTTTTCTTGAACCACCAGACCTTCTGCTGTTTCGTTCTTGCTGCAAAAAGAAGTTCCATTAACTTAGATACTATTGCCTACAAGCTCAGCATACTTAATCATCAATGAATAATATAGGCTTTGCTAGCACTCTGCCTTTGTCCACTCGACACGAAGCCGCCGCCCATGTCTGCCAAACTCTAACCGATCAAGTCCACGTATTGCATCTTCAGCATCACGCTCATCATCCATATAAATAAAAGCAAACCCTGCAAAATAGTTGGTAGTATGGTAATAGAATTATTTATCATGAAGATATCTGACTGAATATTACCTTTACATAATAATTCTTTTCATACAGGATCAGTCATAATGGCCTCCAGTAGACCATTCAGAAATTCGGTCTCTAGCTATCACCTAGAGAGTTAGAAAATGACCACAAAAATAAGAAACAGACCTTGTAAAATGTTGAACTAATGACGTCAGGGAAAAGGCAGGAATTGTGGTAGGCCATGGTACATAGAGGGCCTCCTCCATACATTCTCCAGCCAGGCGGTTCAGGATGGAAACATGGTTGGGATGGAAGGCAGGGCTAAGTTCACAAGAAACTAAAGGCAATAGTCTTGTGGAGAATGTTTCCATGTGAATGAAATGCGACTGAATTGCAGAATGGATCAGCTCTCTGGAAAGAGGCAATATGAACTCAGGCATTGGAAGGAAAGTCGAATGCTTAGCCCAACAAGCAAGGAAGAGCATGTATTCTCCAATATATTCCTGCAGCAAAAAAATTGCTGAGTATGGAGGGTCATCTTCCGAAAACAAACTGATTTGTTAAACTTATCCTGATTCCAAAACCCTAGGAAATCTCAAAAGTAGACTCCTGCCACACTGCACAGGCTGTGTTGAATTGTTCATGAAAGTCCTGCCATCAAGTCAATCTGTGTGGAAAGTTTTAAAAATGCATAATATGCAATTTAGGAATCACAGTTAATAGTTTATCAACTTTGTGATGGTCTGTCGTGCTTATGATCATATTGGCCAAAATATCAAATCGACAGCATATGCAGCTGTCAACATTTTTTTTAAATTTTGGAAAAAAATTGTGATGTAATTAAAAAGTTCTATTGAACATGTCATTATGTGCATGGCCAATCATACATGAGTCACACAAAGGTTCAATTCAAAAAATATTTCAAGAGAAAAAAATTAATGCTGCTGAAAGCCTATATGCATATTAAATACTTTGTACAACACATCCAGGAAACTGCAATGGAAGTCTGAGCATGAGAGAGAAGGAGGTTCACTTCAATGCAAACCCACTTGACACGGGAAGCCGAATTGTAAATGATATTAACTCTATCTTGATCAACTAACAAAACCAGAACTAAAAACAAAAAGAGCACGATTTCCCTCATGCACACATGTGGTTGTGCTAGTTTACCACCAAAAGATTATAGTTTAAAGATCCTAGAATCTAAAAAGAGTTTCTACTCCCACAACACAACTAAAACAACATTGTCTGAGAAAAGAACCTCAGAGAGTGCAAACTCAGATAGCCATCAAATCAAAGGGTCTTACCACAATAATATAGCAAGTTACCTGACTTCATATCCACCCTGTCAACCTTCCCATATCTGCTAAATAGTCGCTCAAGCTCAGAATGGCGAGCATCATAATCCAAGTTGCCACAGAAAATAGACCTTGACATTCTGGTTAAAGCAAATAAGCACGATCACACCTCAATCTGCAAAGGAAAATAAATAAATACAGGATTTACAATATCAAAGCCAAGCATGACAACAATGCAATTTTATTAAAATATTAAACCAATAAAATCCTCACCTACAACATGAGATCAATCTAGCCATGTAAAAGAAAAGGCAAAATAACATAGGCTACGAAATTCAAGTACATAAAAAGGAGAAAATCATGTATCCACTTTGCTAACAAATTATTATGAATTATAGCCCCATATAGAAATTTGAAGTCACATAATAATGCCCAGAAGAAATTTAAGATGAAGAGAAAGTAAACCAAGAAAATCAGACAATTCCAGCTGAGGTCAGCAGAGTTATGGATGATTCCCACTTATCTTGATGGTGATATGATAATCTCAACAAAATGTCAAGCAGAATCTGTTCGGCATGTCAAGCTTCATCCACCTAACTATGGCATCAACACAGGCAAGTTCCAAGGAAGTAGTGCCACAAAATATTGTTATGCACAGTGGATGATGAAAGAATGCAGTGAGGGAACACATGACCAAAGGCATGTCCGCTGATAGTCTGGTGGTGTGTCGGATGATCCCTTTCCCACAGGTGGAGGGTTTGAACCCTGGCTATGGTGCCTTGTGCACCCATTGTCCTTTTGTCTTCCGTGACAATATACCAACACCAAATGGCATCTGACAGGCCCAAGCGGCACCTAAAAAAAAATGTAATTTAAGCCATCCACAACTCAGATAATTGCTTAGTTATGCGGATATTGTTCCCACCTTCTGATTTTCTAATTTTCATAATTATCTATGTATCCAACTATAACACCCCGCGCCTCTTCTTTTCTATTTTCTCCTTTTTCTGTCGTCTGGTACACTCCTCACAAACGAAACCAAAAGCTAAGAGGGAAACACAAACCCGCATACGAAGCATTGCACATTCTACTCCAATCAAGTTCAAAAATCAATGGCAGAAAAATACCTCTTACAATAAGATATGGCCCATTGCTCGATAGTCTACGTAGGTTAATCTCAAACCAACCACTAGGAAAAGAGAATCTCTAGTAACAACCTCAAGGATAATAACCTCCCTTAGAACGAAAATCTCGTGGTAAATGAGTAATAAAAGAATAAATTTGGATACCAACACTCTCAAATGCAACACGTTACATTTTAGGTTTCGGAATTATCCGCTGGCGAACCTCACTGCCAAAACTGATCATAAGAGGCCAAGGAGGAAGAAAAAATATTGTTACATAAAAGAACAGGAACAACCGGGTCAAAAAATCAATCGCAGGCAAAAGAAAACGCGAATAATCGACGAACAGGGGGCTCACAAGGAAAGAACTTACTCGATCTACAAATACGACAAAGAAATAGAAGCTAACGGAAGAAAGTATAGCGCGCAACCAAATCATCCAATGATTTTCGAGGAAATTCTCACCTGCGATCCCCGAAGTTCCTGATCCGCAGAGCGACGACGAAACCCTAGACCGATTCAAAACAAGTCATCGCGGCCGAAGGGGGGCAGGTCAACAAGCGAAAACATAGATGACGGCTTCGTTGGTTCAGTGCACGGAACACAGCGCGCTCCGTTTGTTTCCGCCAGTAAAAGCATCTCATCTAGTGGCGCCCACGTCCAACCCAAAGGCCTTTTTTGATTACCTGTTCCCTGTCTTGCTTGAATTCTCATCCTCCGTCTTGCTGCGCTCCTGCGGTGCAGGGGAAGGACCGTCCACTAACATAGAATCTATCTTTTAGATCGGTGCACCAACCGATCAGTGGCATGGATCTTGTCTCTACACTACACGCTGACCAGAACAGTGCAGAGGATCCGAATCTGCTTTTTTACTTTGCCGAGGGTGACGATTGGAGAAGCAACGCGGGGTCCACTTGGCCCTCAGTAACTGGTCACCGGAAACCAATCCGGATTGTGGACAAACGACGTACGTGGCAAGTATTAATTGGCAGATACCATTCCCCAGGTGTAACCTTAGTTGCTATTGACCTATCTTCAACCGTCAATAGAAACATGAATCCGATGTGACAGTGATCCCGATTTGAAATGGATCAAAGATGGAGAGATGATAGATATGAAAATTAGATTAATCAGATACGTGACGAATAATAAGAGGATTTTACAGCAAAAATTGGGAGGAAAGAAATAATCAGATCATATTTCTGTACTGAAATATGCGTATTTAACATATTCAGATATTTAGTTATTAGGATATTTGGGGGTGTAGACAAAATCGAATTCTTAATTAAGATTTCAACTATCAAAATTCTGATAGAAATATGGAGGTATGGTGGAAATAGACATGTAATTCTGATGTAATTATATGGGGATATGGAAATCGAATCAATTAAATGTCAATTGTCATATTCCTTTTCTAGTTTGATGTCGAATACCAAAAAAAATTTGTCGTGGGTATAGTTCTCTCAACAACCTAAACATAATGTACAGTGACCACATTTCAAATCGGAATGAGTTGATGCATGGAATATTGTGAAAGACCTATTTTATATACGAGCAAAATGTTTTTGGAAGTAAATTTGTTGGTAGGAATATTTGGAACTCCACTTTATTAGGAACGGCTCATCAAATAATATTTAAGATATAAATTTTTTTTTAGAAAAATATGGTTAGATGTATGTTGAGAGAGTTAGAAGCTAATCTTCATTAGTCTAAGTTTATATAAAAAAAATTTAATATTAAAAAATAAGTGATTTTGACAAGTGTACTTACGAAAAAAAAATACATGGAACGTATTTAACAAGGTCCCTCTAATGCTTAATCAAAAAAAAAATTTATGAGGATTTGGTAAGTGCTGAATAAAAGTGTAATTCAACATTGGATTGAAGCTTTTTATGATGTATCATTGGATTGAAGTCATGGTTAATACCCGAAATAGTTGTGTACTTCCTCCGACTATCATATAGTGTCGAATCTGACAAACATGAATAATTAGCTATCAATTATCGTAAAGTTAAGTCATCCGACGTCAAGACGTCGATAATGTGATAATGAGGTGTCGACCACACGGTGTTGGATGTTAGTCATGTGGTGCTAAAGTATTTGACACATGACGTCGATGTGTCAGTGATCCTCCTTACATCATTATTCTGATATTAATTATTCCTTTTTCTTGCCTCGACAAATGTAGTGGAGTCAAGATATGATAAGACTTTCGTTTAATAATTGACCTTGGAAAAATAGTTCGATGATCTTATCACACTTTGAGCTTTTTCGACCATACTATCATCAAAGGGCACTTTGAGCTTATTTTAGTATACTATTATCAAAGGGTACTTTGAGCTTTTTTCACCATACTATCATCGAATGGAGTATTTTGGATAATTTTGGTCATGCTATTGTCGAATAGAGCACTTTGAGTCATTTTGGTCATGATATCATCGAATGGAGGCTTTGGGTTATTTCAGCGATGTCAAAGGAAGTACCTTGGACCATTTCAGTCATGCTATCATCAAATAGAACACTTTGAGTCGATTTGAATATGCTATTGTTGAATGAGCACTTTGGGCCATTTTGGTCATGTTACCATCGAAGGAAGTGCTTTGGGCCATTTCGATCACTCTATCGTGAAGGATGCTTTAATGTCAAATTCAATCATATCATTATAGAAGAATACTTCATGGTTGGATATGAAAGCATAAAAAT